TATTTAGAGAATACTTAATAAGATTTTAAAAAAATTTATTTAATAGAAATAACAGCTTTACAAAAGTCTTGATCATATATTAGAAAAATTAACATTTTATTACAATTAAATATATAATAATTAAGATTATTTATATGTATTTATAATAATTCTTATATTAAATCTTAAATTACAGATTTATTGGAAGAGCTAACCTGTGATTATAATTTAATCTATAAAACAATTCTAGAAGATCTTTATTTAATATATTAGTTATAATACTAGACTTAATTTTTATTTAAATATTTAGAAAAATTATTTTTATTCTATTTTATAAATCTGATTAGTTAATTTAAATATCTTGAATATCTTGAATATATTAAATCTATTATAACCAAAGATTCTATTCCTGAAATTAAATAGTATTTATAAAAAGGACTATTTTAGACTAAAAATATTTTTAAATATTAAAAAAATTAATTAAAATTAATTTTCTATTCTTAGTTATATAGTATAGGATTTTCTTATAATTTTTATTAATAAAATTAAAATTAAATAACTTTTTAATTCTGCTTAAAATATATATTATTATTATTAAAATTATTTTTTCTAGATATTATCAAAGTCTTGATACTTAAGATATATAAAAATAATTATAATTATAAGATAAATTTAAGTATATTCTAGATAATATAAATTTAACTAATTTTTTAATTAATATTATATACATAAAGATACCAGCTGCAGAGAATAAAAATCTTAACTTTTTTAATTATAAAATTAATAATATTAATAAATTTTATAGTAATATTAATCCTGATGATATTCTTGGTAATGATAATAATAAAAGTAATAATATATAAGTTATTTAATATAAATTAAATTTCATTTTTATGTTTTCTTTATAGAGAATTCTTATATTATTATAAATTTTATAGATACTAGCTTGATACTGACTTTATAATTATGATTATTAAATAAATTACTGTAAATAATTTAGAATTTAATATATAAAAAGTAACTGGAATTTTTTTAAGTTAAACTTTTTTATATCTTGATTTAGAAAAAAGTAATTAAATCTAATTAAAAAATATAATTAATTTAAATAAGAAAATATTATTATATATTCATTCAAAAAATATGTTCTGACTTAAGTCAGAAAGTATACTTTAAATATTATAAAAATTATAATAATATTAATATTATATATAATTTTGATTTTAATAAGCCTGTCAAGGTCTTTTTCTAATATTGAACTTAATTATAAAAGACTTGCCTGATTTAATAGAAAGCTTGAAACTTAATAAATAAGTTTTAAAAACTTAAAAACCTGCTCATAAGTCTTATATAATCAGGCTCGGAGTTGTCTTGGCACGAGCTGAGCCGAGTGGTCCCGAGCTTTTCAGACAAGTCTTGCCATCTCTAAGTTACTAAAATAAAAGTTACCGGGATGACATATTATAATAATTATAAGAATTATAAGATTATTAAAAAAGTGTCTATTTTTTTTAATATTTATAAGATCCTAATTCCTCTGTAATAAATTATTAATTCTTTAAGAATTATTTTATCTTGTGGATATAGGCTATCTTTGTCATTATTAGATGAATATATGATGTTTAGTAGCTGATTTCTTACATAGTCAACAGGCTTTCTACCCTGACAAGTAGGTCCTATCACATTTTCTAACTATTGAATCTCTTTAATAGTAGAAATAATATTTAATAATAATTCTAGTTTAATTTAATTACTAGCTATCTCCTGTTTCTTACTATTTTTAATAAGTGGCATTTTCCTTAAGTAATTAAAAGAAAAGAATTAAAATATAATAAGATTTATTTATTAGAATATAAAGCCTCTTTTTTAAATAAGAAATCAGTTATTAAATATTTTATATTTATCTAATAATAATAATAAAGATAGCCTATATCTATAAGATAAACTGATTCTTAGAAGATTAGTAATTTATTATAGAGAAATCAATACTTTATAGATATTACAAAGATGTAGAACTATTATTAATAATCTTATAACTCTTGTAAGTTGTAACTACTATGATATGTTATCCCGATGACCTTGATCTCGATAGCTGGGTTATTCTATCACATTTCTCAGAATAAGAATCAATTTATTCTATGGATATAGACTACCTTTGTCATCATTCAACAAATCCATGATATTTAGTGGCCGATCCCTTACCTAGTCAACAGGTTTCCTACCCTGACAAGTAGATCCTATCACAGTTACTTAAATATCTTATCTACTTCTGTTTTATTAAGTAACTTGATATAGTGGATCATATTTAGAATCTTATCTAATATTCCTTTATTTATACATGTTTTATTTTCTATTTAGAAAATATAAATAATCTCGTGTCTTCCCTTTATACATAATGCCGCTGACTACGTCCTCGCTCATGGGGGGTGTAAAAGGATATCACGTGATCTCGGATCTAGCCACCTAGCCACCCAGTCACCTCCTCGTGTAGTTAGCTAGTTAGTCTACACACACACACAATATCATCATATTGCTTCCACACATTCCATGCGACACTGCTGCTGGGCTCGTCAAGTCTATGCCGAGTTACCAAGATACGCGGGATATACGTATAGAACTAGGTTATCAGTTGAACTCCAACTACATGGTGAGGAATGTAGGCATTTTTCAGCACAACGGAGTATTCGGTTGACGCTGGATGATCTGGTGTCCCACTTCAAGCATTCTTCCCGAGAAGCTCCAGAAGGACAGTCTTTTGTCGTCTTGTGGTGTGCTGTTCTACGGTCTGCAGCATTTACGAGTCTCCTTCGTCAAACGATTGTCCAAGGTTGATTTGTGTCATAACTTCAAAGAGGTCTTCTCTTCTAACACTGTAATTTGAGGGTAAATAACTTATATAGAAGACGGAGTCAAATGACTATCCAGATGAAGAGTGATATATTCGATATCAGGATTATCAGAGCTGCTCCCAGCGCCATAATCTCTTGGTCAACTATTGTTCTTTGGGAGAGTTGGGCTAGAAAACAAGTCCATAGAAGTAGCCAGGATGACGAGCCCCACTTCCACAGAATCAAGCCCAAGCCACGGGAAGTAAAAAGTGAGGCAGACCGAGCTAAAAAGGCGACAGAGCAACATCGGAGCCGTGGGTCTTTCCAACCGCATAGCTCCCCCAGCCAGCTTTCGGCAGATCAATGTCCGAGTCGCCTACCAAGAACCTCATGAACACCCCATGAGTTACAACCACAACGTCCGTCCGTGCTTGGTGTTGAAGATCTTCGCAAACGGCAGCAATACGAGATCTTACCCTCCGTGCCCTTTCCTCTACAGCTTCATCGACGGGAGAATAGAGGCCCTCTTTCACTTGCCAACCCTGAGCCAAATCCTGAAAACCTAGTCTCGGAAAAGCCGTTTCCAGGACCCTAGTTGGGGACCCGGTATCACAGGGAAGAGCACTTCTCTCTTGCAAATCCGGGTCCAAGAGAAGAACTGCGCCTTTCTCCACTCCGTGCCCAGACTCTGGGTCGAAATACCGTTTATCAAGGATGTGTGGAAAAGCAGTGAGGGTGGTTTGAACGGCTCGCTTGAGTGGAGAGGTGATGATAACAGCCACCTGAGGGGCAGAGTGGAAGAGCTGGCCGAGTCCTATGGCCTGCTGAAGGCCAAGAGGGGTCAACTCAGGATCCAACTGAGAGAAGTCATGAGTGACGTTGTGGGCCGATTCTGCGTGGCGGACGAGATGGACCTTCGAGGCCATATTGAGGAACAAGGGTGCTAACTATCCATCCATCCAGGGTCTTGCTAGCTATAAATACAACTCAATCCATCCCGGCGAACCGCAGGCCGAAAACGTGATTTCTGTGGCGTATTGCGTGATATATTTCTTCCGAAGCAGCGCTATAATTAATCAACTCCGTTGACTGGGAAAACTGATAGACCTTCGGTTAAGCTGGACCCTCCCAAGAAACTATCGACTAGCTCCCCTATGGACGAAACCATTGGCCATTTGAATGGAAAACACTCTCTTGGCGCCGCGGAAGTATCTCTTATTTGGAACCGAGCGTTGCGCCCGAATCTTACCTGGCGGTGTTTGATGTGGGATCCAACAAATCCTGAGATCTATGTCATGGGCTCAAACTTAATGGTGCGTCGATCCGTCGCAACGATGACCACTTAGGCACACGTGAGGAAGCGGATTGATCCTTATCACCAAGTGACCCACATGTCTACCTAAGAGGCCCTCTAAACTAAACTTGAATAGGACCCCGAAAACCATCAGCCAATTAGAAGCTCGTAGTGACAGACCGCGGACCAATGTAGCACTTAAGTTACATGTGTGAACAGTTGCCGACCTCCTATTGGATCCACGTCTGGCGGATTTCCAACCTTAAAATTCATTGTTCAACTGATTTAGCTCACTATCCTTAAGGTTGGTATAATCTCGATCCCCTCTTGAATGACGGTCGGTTCGTTTTCCCTCCTGCTCTGACAAAGCTGATTACCGCATGCCCATTTATAACCCAATCTAAAATACTCCTTTCGACACGATCGCGACCTATCTCGTCCCTACGGGCCCTGCATCGAAGCTGGCGCAGCCATGCCGGTGTAACTGAACCGGCACGCGCAGGAGAGCGCCTTCTTGGACGCTTGGGCGAGGTCGTGCGACATACCTGGTACCTGGAATTTACGTCCTTTGGGAGTCCGCCGGTTCATTTCCAGATTTTTCACGCGCGGTTTGTCGAGCAGGAAAAGTGGGTTGATGAGCAGACGGTAGGAAGCATAGATTCAATGTCCAGTATCGTCAGGGGCTAACGGGTACAAGTACCAAGAACTCTTCGCTATCTGTCAGGGCCTTCCGGGTCCGGGTTCGACCAAGATGCTATTCTGCTTGGCGTTGCTTCACGCTGATTTCATCCCGGCCTTACTGGCATTTGTCCTCTAGTGGTATGATTACTGCTTTAATTTGCGTCCTTTGTCATTCGGAATGATGGACTGATTAGTTTACTAGTCTTCCTGGTGCAGTCGGTATGTATGCCCCCTCTCTCGGTGTGCAACGGATCGACGAAACACTGCCCGCGGCAGTCTACGCTCTTCTCTCCGGCCTGAATGCCTCGACAGTAGGCATTGTTGCCCTCGCTGCCGTCCAACTAGCTGAAAAGGCAATTCGTGACAAGATTTCCCGTATCCTTGTTATTTTCGGTGCATGTGCAGGCCTCTGCTATAGTGCACACTGGTATTTCCCAATTCTTATGGTTGCGGGTGGTGTTTCCACGGCACTGGGGGTTGGTTGGATATATCAACAAATTCTCAGGGCAAAGATGGCGTGGAGAAAAAGGAATCGGCAGCCCGAACCGGAGAATGACGCTTCTGGATCGGTAGGCCAGGAGCATTTGTCTATGCGGTATTCAGGGCAGGGTGCAGGAACAGAGATGCTGCGAGTGAGGAAGTCAGTTGCAGCGGCATCCCCGTCTTACTCAACCGATATTCAGGTCTCCGAAGGAGGGGGAACCCCTCCTGCACCGCAGCATATCATTCGGATCCGTGTGGGGGCTGCAATACTGATGTTCCTTTTTGGTAAGGTTCCCTCTTAAAGCTTGCGATATCACTAGATAGAGGCTTACCCCGAAACCATAGCTTCCTTCATCGCCATTCTCGTCGCAAGAGCCAAACTCTCCGCACCGCCTCTATCTTTCGACCTCTTCGCGAATATGTACCTAGCCGGCACTGTGATCTTCGGCGGCGGCCCCGTTGTCATCCCATTGCTCCGGTCATACGTCGTGGACCCGGGTTGGGTTTCCAGTCGAGACTTCCTGATCGGCCTCGCAATCATTCAGGCCTTTCCCGGTCCAAACTTCAACTTTGCAGTCTTTCTCGGCGCTCTTGCCGTCCGAAATACATCCTACCAGACAGTCCTCGGTGCCTTCCTTAGTGGGCTAGGGATCTTCTTCCCTGGAATTACCTTCGCCGTCGCAATACAGTCATTTTGGCGTGTCCTACGGAAACAGAAATGTAATGTTGACTTCCTCCGAGGTGTGAATGCATCAGCTGTTGGATTAGTGTTTACTGCTGTGTACCGGCTTTGGGAAATTGGATACCTAACTCCGCAGGATCGTGATGGGCAGAGTTTGGCGAAGGGGCCCTGGTGGGTTGTTATTGCCGCTATTATGTATGCCCAGAGTGCATGGTTCTTCAAGGTCCCACCTGCGGTTGCAATTGTGCTAGGTGCTGTGCTTGGATTGAGTTGGTATGGAGTTGTTAGTCCTGTCAGGTGAGTGGAGTCTAGGGATTGTTGATACGCGAAACGACAGGTTGGCAGACAGGCAAATCTCCAGTTCGCCACATATTATTTAATATTGATCAGTTGACAAACATGATGTTTCAATCCATAGTGGAGTTGCGCAAGGGCAAGTTCAAACACAAATAAAGCTTTGTCATTGTCTTCTATCATCATATAACTAGTGTTTAGCAGCAGCATTAGTTCTTACTAACAAGGATAAAATACTCTTCCTAACTAAAGATAAATGTCATGTACCAGTATGATATAAAAATAGAATCATACTACTGTATTTTACATTTATTGCGTGCATAGCGCTAAAACATAATACCAAGCCCAATTCCCACCGTTCCCTTTATTGAAATACACGGAGACATAATATTAATAACCAAGTGTTCCTCCAAAAAGAGCTTATCATAACTTTATATCATCTGTCTCCGTATTGGAGAGACTCACAACATGACCGGAGATTATTGGTAGAAGCCCTACCTGCACATGGAGGATAATCGCTTAGGGCCCAAGTGCAATATTCATACATATCCTCTCCCTTACTTCTTATCTTGGGCAAAAGGGACGACCCTTGGTACTACAATACATGCAAGCAATGAGCTTAAAATCCATTACCATTTCTTTTGCGATTCGCGATAAATTATAAAAAAAATGAGATAGAAATACAGCTGTATTATCAGACTTAAATTATAACAAAAGTAATAATAATCTGGCTCTCTACGAGTAATATACTATTAAAAAAAATAATAAAGGGTTTATTCTTTTTATTATTACTAAATTAATTTATAAAATTGATTAGAAAAGAATACTTAAAAATATACACAGAATATTATATTTTTAAGACAATTATACTATTTATTTATTTTTATTATAATCTAAATAAATATATGAATATAAATAACTAAAAAGTCTATATAACTAGAAACAAGATTTCTCTAATTGAGATTAAAATAATATAATTATATAATTATCAATTATCTAGAAAAATCATAATCTTATATACAGCAGCCTGATCCAGCAGCTTAAGAATATTATGAATATATTTAAGACATTAACTGCTCAAAATATCTAGAATACTAAAAAAATAATAAATATAATAATTATATATTTGACAGAAATAAATACTATTATTTTTAAATATTATAACTCCACAGAATAATTAATTTAAAGATTCAAAATTATATCACTATATTCCCTTTCTAAAGTACTATCGAATAATATTATTCATAAACTTATTAAATATCATTTGACTGTTGTCCTGTTGTGAAGATTGCCCTACTAGACACTAAGATGCTTTTGTCCAGGCCGGAAAGCTCAATCTTTAGTATATCATCTGAGAAACGCTTTTGAGATTTTCTAGATCTTCTTTCATTGGGCCTGGCACTTGCATGCATTCAGCAGCCTGCACGTTGTACAGTCAGTCTCTACTAATTTCTTGTGTTGACTCGTCAAAAATGCGGGTGAATTCACCCACTCTAAATTGATCTAAGGAGAGTGATCACTCGAAGCTCAATAGACGTTCTTTCATCTCTCCATCTGCTTGGGCTGCATGCCCAGGGATGATACTTATCTTCGCTCCACCTTCATCAAGCTTGGACCGGCGAAGAACAATTTGTGTCGCATGTCGGGTACGAAGATCACTGGCTATGGGGAACGATAACCCGGTGATTGCCTCAAGAAGAGAAGATTTGCCGCTCGATTGATCACCTACAACAACGAGCTTTAAAGGCATTAGTAACAGCTTAAATACGGGTTCATGCTCTCTTACCTGAGGAAGGGAGACTCTCGCTAACTCCGAGTTCACCAAGTTCGTCGATAATCCCTAGAACCCGAACTCGACTGTCATTGTCAATGCTATCAATTCTAAATTTTAGAGTAACATTCCCCTGCCCGAGATACATGCTGTATCTGTAAGGGCCGCATACCTTCTTTTCTGGTGTACGATACTCCATTTGCATTTGTGGAAGGAACTAAGATTGCGATGCTGAATACTATGTCCATAGTGCTTTTAGTGGCGGCAAACGAACTCCATTTCCTCCGAGGTCTATTGGGTGTTATTGTTGGATATTCTCCTTACTTCGATACCTAATACTTCATACCAAGTTCGAGCCGAGAGAATGTCACAGGGACCAGTTCGATTCTCAGATGATATTCGAAGTTGTGTTCTAGTGCGCTGGATTCTTACGGTCGGGATCGTATGTGCCGTGCGCCGTCAGGTCACAGATCCCTGCATGCAGCTACCAATGGCTTTCGCTGATACTATGCATGGGTGCCGTGAGAGTTGGGTGACGGTTGGGCAGAAACTTAAAAAGCGCGAGAACCCCTACTGATCTTCGGGCTGACCTTTTGGAAAACAGCAAGTCAAGCACACGCGCTGACTGCAATTTTGACTTCAGAATGCAGAAATCAGTATCTTTTTCCTGTCCAGGATGCGAGAGAGGAGGGTTCCGCAGCTTGGTGGAGGCTCAGAAGCACTTTGAGGAGCAATCTCACTCTGTGCGGTGTATCGTCTGCCAAAAGGCATTCGGCAGCGGCATGTCAGTCATACAGCATTATCAAAAGCACGTCAAAGCTCGGGAAGCTCCAACCAATACGAAAAAGCCCATTCAGGAGAGAAAGGCATTTAACCAGCATTCAGCAGGTCTGACAATAACATCGCCATCACCTCTCGGAAATGGCCAAATGTACTTTCAAGAAACTCTACTGACAGCTGTCGGAGATATAATGCATTTCGGAGAGGAGCGTGATCCGATCAACTTGCCCTTTCAATTGCCTTTGATCGCATCGGGTGTAAGTGATGCTAATGGTAACAACCCTCTCAATCTTTGCTCCCTTTTGCAGTCGCCCATGCGACTAAGTGATCTACATAAAGACTTACTGGGTATCCGGGAAACTATTGGCTAGAAATCGATTTCAACACAAACACCAACGTCGTTCTGCACCCTCTTGAACAGTGTCTGATTCTGAGGTATCTGCGTTCCAAATGCCATTCAGAGAGCCGCCTTCGGAGAGAAGGATACATCCTAGGGCCAGTCACAGTAAGGAATAAAGACTTCCCACGGAAGGGGTCCATTCCCACTTATCAATTTCGCGAAACGCCGTCTGAGGAACAGCCTGGACTCAAGAGACATGCCATCGCACTCGATTGTGAGATGGTCGGTGTCAAAGGCAATCGGCAAACTCTCGCGTTTATAAGTGCCATTGACTTTTTGACAGGCGATGTTCTCATTAGCCGCTACGTAGCGCCATCCGAGGAGGTCATTGACTGGAGATCAAAAATTACCGGAATAACCCAAGATGTCATGACAAGCGCCACGATAGCTGGCGCTGCATTCAGAGATTGGCGAGAAGCGCGCGAGAATTTATGGCAATTTGCCGATACATCCACTGTTTTTGTTGGCCAATCCCTCAATTATGACCTTGAGGTTCTGGGAATCTGTCACAACAAAATTGTTGACTCCGCCATTTTGACTGCGGAGGCTGTATTCCCAGCCACTGGCCCCACGGAGAGTTTACCTCGCGCTTGGAGCTTGAAGGCTGTGGCCAAAACTCTTTTGGATTTGGAGATTCAGAGCGGAGATCGTGCGCACAGTGCTTTGGAAGACGCATATGCGGTACGCGACGTGATCATATTCTGCATCAGAAACCCGGAACAGTTAAAATCATGGGCAGAGCTTCGACGGAAAGAAGAGGGACAAAAGGGCAAAAAAAGCCGGCGCAAGAGCAAGGCCAAACGAAATCCGACCATGTCGTCTACTCAAGATATCCAGCATAAAACTCGGGTGTTAAAGAATGAGTTTGAATACTATATTGATGACGATGACGAATTTTGCTTGTCCGAGTATGCTAGGGATGCTGGCTGGCCAGACGGGTGGGATCCTTGGTCTGATTGATTCAACTTCCTTTCCAATGCCCAAACAGCATACAAGAATTTGGTATCCTATCGGAGAAGGGAGGCAGCTTTCCATACATCCTACTTTTTGTAAAGGAATAAAACGTGATCTGAAAATTGTGAACGCAGGTCTGTCCGTCAGCCCCTATCTAGCCAGGCAGCAGATGTAATATATCGTTCCATCACGTAAGTCATGAAACATCTATACGTCATCAGGACACTTCCGGTACATGTAAAAGATGACAAACGGTGAGAATTGTCCGGTCGTGTGTGTTGAGGCTTGGGCGATTGTTGGTCAAGAGTCGTCCTCGGATTTTTATCATGGCGGCTCCGTAAACTCTGCATAAGGCTGCTTTTCTTTCGCTTAAATGAGCGTTTACCTACTCCCTCTTGTCATTGAACGGTCAAAAATGCCGTTTGTGGGGCAAGTCATCTTAGGAGGTTCTAACGCGCGTTGCTGTAAGCCGCAGAATCCAGACTTTCTATTATGAGCGCAAACGCAATACCACTGAAATTAGCCTCGGCAATATCTTGCGGAAGAAAACAGGAAGCCAATTGAAAACTTCAAATCGTCTTCAGAACATAGCTCGAGCTATGGATACGTTACGCTCACACATCGCCTTCGACTTAACTAGTTCTGTTCTTCGTGCTTAATACTATTGTTTTTTGAATAACTATATATATATAGAAACTTAGTAGAAATACCTATTTGTACTTACTTATAAATAGTTATACAGTATTATTTAATCTTATTTCTCTTCTCTCATCTAAGACTAGTTATTGTTAGATAATTATCAGCCTGATACCTCCTCGACCCAGTTTAACAGTATATATATCAGTAAAGCTAAGCTAACCAGGACAGGGAAGCGATCCTAAGGTTTGACACATCTCTCCTGAGCACAAGTTGATCATGCCCCGGGTCACTGCTCCTTGTCTTCCTTCAACATACAGGATCCATATGTGATATGCTGAAAACCTAAATTGCTGAAATGTTGAGTGTTAAATGGTGTAAGAAGAAGAACCCCAAATGAACACGAAAGTTAAATATTCCGTATCACCCATCGTCAAACCATTTGGCCAACCTTATTATGCAAAGGTAACTTAACTAGTGAAACCAACCATGATTTCACTACCACCCATGCAGCGGATACCGAGTCTAGACTATATATGAATTCCAAGTCCGGAGGCTAATCATGTCATGCGTCAGCCACCCCGACCAGATCTCAAAGGTCACGAGATAGACGCCAATCATTATAAGTAAAGAGTGGACCACATCACAACTCGGACAAGCAAGGAAGTACTAAGAGCTTAGCGTCTTTGTCCTATCGACTACTCTGACCTTTCATAGTGAATATCTTTATCTAATGGCACTATCATCACATCTAGCCAAGAAACACGAATTCCACCCTGCAGGTGCTGGCGACTTGCGAAGTCCGTGCCCTGTGCTTAACGCACTTGCGAACCACGGTATAATATCCCGCGATGGCCGTAATATTACGGCCAATCAGCTGAAGGACGCCCTCAAGCATATTGGTGTGGGTATCGACATCAGGCTAGGCCTTGTCAATTCTGCTTATGCTGTCCATGACGAGCATTCGCATCGTGGCCTTCGCAACCCAGAACAGGTAGACGACTCCGGCATACCTGTCCTAAATCTGGATCAAACTGGTCGGCCTCATGCAATAGAACACGACGTTTCTCTTTCTAGAGAGGATCGCGCCTTAGGTGACTGTATCAGTCCTCATCCTGGATTAGTTGAAGGCTTTCTCGGGTACCCACAGCAAGACTTCTTCACCGTCTCCCATCTTGGGAGGTTTCGCAAGAAGCGGTATATAGAGCAAAATGCAAAAAATAGGGTTCTAGACTTTGGCTACAGGGCTCACATAGTGGCCTGCGCTGAAGCTGCTCTATTCCAGGGCGTATTCGGTGAAGGTGTCTTCCGTCGGTTGCCGGTTAAGTACGCGAAAGCCGTTTTCCAAGAGGAACGTTTACCATTCAATGAGGGCTGGACGCCGCGGTGGTTTGCATTGATGGTTCCCGAGTTGGCTATGTTAGTTCTCATAATCTTGTATTTTGCTTCCTAATTTGACTTATTCTTGGTTTTGGTGCGCATAGTGCTCTAGCAATAAATTACTCTTTCCGATGGACGTCCTAAACTCTTGCCTGAGTGGACCAAAAGACAACCGTAGATCTTTTCAAAACGAACTTGCGCTTGACGCAACATTAGTCAAAGCGGCGAAGAGGATGCTGTCTCGCCAAGAAATATTTTGAATGCGTTATGTAGTCAGGGTGACCTAGACATTCTGGGCATAATGCTTCCCCAGTTCTTCACCGCAATATGAAAGTGGTTCGTAACTCCTACAACAGGCGCTTGGCTAACCAAGCCATCATTTGAAGCCTGACAATTCCAGACAACAGGAAAATTACCAAATGTGGAAGCATAGTTAGATTTACCCATTTCTTCTATCATTGATATATATATCCACAGCTAAAAATAGCCCTCTCACCATAGCTCAAAGTCAAAAGATGTCTAGATAATAATGAAGGCTCTATTTCTTGCATAATTAGTAGATAATCTTGATAATACTATTGAAATAGCCAAGCACTATAATGTTATCTACAAATATCTACCCGTCTCAGTGATCAAACTATCCATATTGCCACCCGTTTCCGCCTCCGCGGCAAGCAACATATGTAAACCAATAGGTAGAATGGAGGGGTATAACAAGAATGAAGAGACATTTGAATCACTGTGCTTCTACTACCGCCAACAGGAACCCTAGATTCAGCAGTAGATGCTCTGAATATAATGCACATCTTCTATCCCTCACCACTTTGTTCATCTTGCCAACCGGTGATCCAAGTTCCAGAATCACATCTGCCCACAGGAAGCTTTTCTATACGAGGGACTCGTGAATAAAGCTTCTCATCCCGAGAGGCCTTCCGTTTGCGGCCGCGCCTCTGATGTGTTAGACATAAATCACATATATCTGGACCTTGGGTTCAGTATCACACGATATACATCTATAGTATCGGGTTATACAGCGAGTATCTGACACGGGGGTTTAGAGTTCTGCAGAGTATATCTCTGACTGACTTCTGGTCTCCACCAGCCATTCCACGGCTAAACCAACGAGAGCCTCATTTAGGGGAATTATAGCTCCCGTTCATTACTTGCCATTTGCCATTATTTCTTCTCTAGGCTCATCCATTTTAGAATCATTCACTCAGCTGTTGCTTAGGCAATTTATGGTCGAAATGTTGAATAGAATAGGCTAGACACTATCAAAGATCAGGGCTTAATATCAGTGAAATGCCATGTTATCGATTATTCCTGTATATCTGCCACCAATTACCACTATGTATAATGCAACAGCAATCACTTTACTTTACCTCATTATTAAGTAATATAAATAATTAGTCTATAATAGAGTTTATAAAAGTCTTTCCCGTAGAGAAGTCGGCCACCAGTAGTCAGGCAGCATTTACCTGCCTTCGTCAAGCTGGTGATCTTCTTGCTAGACCCTTTGACGTCACTGCCAATCAGGTGGCTCCAAAAGTAGCGTAGAAGAATGCAGAAGAAGAGCATCCAAAAGCATAGGACGGTGGTGGTGATAAACCCCCCCGGTCGCAAACAGCGCGTATAGGATATACCGGTACACTTTGGTGTTCGCAATGCGGAGGGGAGTGTAGATGAATGAAAGCTTGATGAAGTAGGTCGCGATGAAGTACAGCAACAGACAGATGAAAACGTGCAGTAATGCCAGTAATGCCACTAGTCAATCGGTGCCGGGGCATCGATTGGCAGCGCCGGCGATAATATCATCCCAAAATATACAACCCTGATAGTGAATCCGCGAAAAGAATCACAGACCGACGCAAATGCAGGCAAGAGCGACAAGGACAATGCATACTGTCGCGTACGTCACAGGGTTGTATGGCTTGTTTGTCCTTGTGAACGGGATCGTCGGGTGCATATAGGAATCAGGTATGATTTCGACTGGTGAATACGAACACCGGGGTGGACAGCAATGAGTCCAAAACGCTGGAAGAGGGTTTTCTGAGATGGTGAGAACATTCGAGACTCCCTCCTTCCCCATGATATTCCCAGGTGGAGTGAAGAGGGCCTCTGGCAGTTGAGCCACAGCTCGATTAAAACAGGGCGGAATCCAGAGGGGAGGTTGAATTCCGCTTCTTCCTCGGCGCCCCTGTATTAAAACAGTAGGGACTGTCCGAAGCTTGCGGCGGCTGAATCTCTTCTTTGGGAGATCTGACCAGGATGGTCGAGAAACGCGAGGCTCCTGGCGCGATTCGCGACATTGAGGCCGACAATGGCCTTCCTCCTCGCTACTTCTGCTCCAGCTTGTTCCTTGGCTCGATGACAGCGATCGGACTGGGCTTGCTTGCTGCGATCGCCGGCTTTGCCTTTCCGGCTCCGCTCCTCGCCATCATCAACCCGGAAATTGGCCCTAGCGCCGACATCTCCTGGGTGTCGCTGACCTACACGCTGACGATCGCGGTTGGCCTTACCCTGATCGGCCGCACCACAGATATTTTTTTGGGAGACGATACATTTTTATCGGCGGCGGTGTCCTCGGAACCGTTGGGAGTATCATATGCGCGAGAGCGGACAGCATCAACACCTTGATCGGAGACATGACATTGATCGGACTGGCTGCATCGACTCAGGTATCTTATTTCTACGTGGTGGCAGAGCTTGTGCCGATGAAATACCGCTTCACAGCCAACAGCCTCATGTATATCTTCACGACGCCTGGCCGTGCCTTTGCGCCTGCCATCAGCGAGAGTTTGGTCCGCACCACCTCTGCGGGCTGGCGGGGAGTGTTTTACATCCTGATTGCCATCAATGCCGTTGCGTTACTGTGTTTCACTTTATTTTACTGGCCACCCATCTTCCAGGAGAAGCATGACAGCCAGCGAAAATTTACCTAGATTATCTGTTTAACTATTTTAGAACCTTTCTCTTCGTGTCCGCCCTGACACCCTTTCTCATGGGCCTCTCCTGGAGTAGCTTTTGATATCTATGGCAGTCCTCATATGTGGTTGCTACCATTATTATCAGCAGGTTATTCTTTATCACATTCATCCTCTGGAAATAATATAGTCCAACCCGGCAGCCGCTCATTCCGATGCGTATGTTGCGAGATTTGCAATAAAAAGTAGCAGTTATTACCTCGGGGCTCAGTTCAAGCCTTTACTATGGCCTTGCTGTCGTCTGGCCATTAATAGTGTTCTTTATTTATACCTCCAGGAATTCTGTTCCTGACAGCTTACTCTTCTTGCTTGTCAGGGCCGGCTGGCTATGTGGGGAGATCATCTCGGGATTTGCAGCCATGGGTATTTGAAAGATTAAATACCAGAGCATTGTGATCCTTGTGATTGCGGGGATCCTGTTTGCCTGTGTCACGACGTGCACCGTGGATTCACGCGACCGAGCTTGTTGGTTGGTGGCCTTTGGCACGTTCTTCGCCGGATGGGTGGAGGGGCTATCCCTTACGACTACGACCCTCGCGCTCGGCGATCAGGATAAACTGGGCACTGGCTGTGGGTTCGATTACTCGATTCGCTTTTCCATCACAACCGTCGTCACGACGATCTACAACGTCATCATTACTACCCGGTAGGCAGATACTATCCTGACAGAGATTGGGAAGGCATTGGATAACAGTAGCCTGCCCCCCGAAGCCATACAGACCCTAAATTGCCGCCCTGTCAGCTGGTCAGGCTCCGACCACCGTGGTGGGGGTTACCCCAGGGCTCGGGGCTAGAGCTCTTCGAGCCTTCAAGGAGGCTAACATTCAGGCGTACCGCACGGTTTTCTTCAGTACAATCGCAGTTACAGGGCTCGGGCTGGTGGCCACCCTGTTGCTGCCCGATGTCGACTCGTTGATGAGCGAGGAGGCCACTGTCACTCTGAGCCGGACGAAACACCCGCCGTCGATGGCGAGGAAAACGCATCGAACCACCTAATGTGTGCACAGTAAACTTTTAAGTACAAAATATCAAGCCCAGATAACTGAAGCCAGACTTTAGCGCGTCCCTCCCACAACAAAAGAAGCATTATGTATGAAGAAAGATATATTATCGGATATGGAGGAGGTGTGTTGGCGGAGGGGGTGGAATTCCACAGCTAATTCCACATAGTGATTTTCGGCACATTGTTATGTGCAGGATTAGAAAAACCATAAATCATTCTCTCGGCTCCATAACACTGCCCACTGTATCTAGGCCAGCCACTCTTCTCTTCATGGCACCTCACACAATCTCCATCCTTGTCTACAAGGCTCCCCAACTTACGGCGGATCACTTTCAATCACAGTATAAGACCACGAATGTTCCTCTCATGTTCTCCCTCAGTAATCCAGGCAGCCGACAGCTGTTATATTGGCGTCGCTATGCTGTTAATGATAGCTCAAAACACAACCCTGACTAGGATGCTCTTACCATAATGTGCTTTATGGACAAGACAGCGGCGGACCGAATCAATGCCCTCCTGAACAAGCCTGGCATTAATACGCTGGTCGATGACGACTCAGTGCGGTTCCTCAATATTACCGACACTCAGTTCGCTGTGCTCGAGATAGAGGGCTCTAGGTCTTGATAACTTGTTACCTAGTGGTTCTACCTTTATGTAATTTATTTCCTAATTTCTTAAGACTCTTTATCTATAATGAATATAATTTATAATTAAATTTAAATTTCAGAAGGAACACCTTACTTTACAGATATAGAATAAGAAACAGATAAATACAATTCAATATAAAAAAATATACTATTTTATTAGTATTCTATCATTCTGAAACTTTGAATTTTATACTTATTTTTTAGGCACGTTATCAAACTTCAACTGCGTATATGAAATTAAATAAATTAGATAAAGATATAAGAAAAGCAGATTCATAAAATAGAGATAATATTATTCTATATATTAACAGTAGATAAATCAATGATGATTAGAGTTATTACTATTACTGTGATCGTCTCTGATAGATACCTTGTTCTGATGTATTTACCCTCTGAGGCGCTTCCGAGATAAATAGTGAATATGAGAACATAAATGAAGAAAGCACTGTCAAATCTCCCATAGGTACTTTGTTTATACGCCTGAAACTTCCCTTGTTCTATATTCTTGGACTACAAATTGATACTATATATTGTGACCTCTTTCAACAGGATTGGTACACCATATATATACAAGGAGGTTACCGTAAACTGTTCTGTAGGGACCGAATTTAGCAGATATAATATGACCCGTCAATATGCATCCTAGCCGGGTCCGGGAGAATTTGCACGTTGATTCCAACCTGCCATCATATTAGCGCTAATAACACTCACATGGCCATCGGACTTCTTTATACCCATCCTTATTCCAGATCAGTCTCATCTAGCTGATATAACTCCCTTCCTAGCTCCCCATTCACTCCATACTTCTCACCAGTCATTCCGTCCTCCCATAATTGAGAAGGAAGCGACAACTCTTCCCATTCAACAGCAACATCAGCAAATGTCTGCTCACTGAATTCTATCCGGGTCTCTTGTACAATATTCGTCTTCCCGTCGTGATAGATTAACCGTAGCATGTCCGTTTCAAAAGCTTCCTGATCCGCAATAGCAAAATAGCCCTTTGAAGCTGTTCGCCGAAGGAATGTGCTCTGTCGTTTAATATGTTTATCACGATCCGCCCTCCATTCGTCGCTTTGTTTGAGGTTTGGTAGTTTCTTCTTGAAAAACTGTCTATCCCGTAAAATATGTTCTGGATTCGGCAGGCGGCTATAGCCATCTAAAGGGCCGGCTAACTCTGGCAAGATGTCGAAGACTCGCCACCAGTGGTGGCCGAAATTGAAGAGTTCAGGATTATCAAGAAGGGCCCACCAGGCTGTATCCTTCTCGTCGAGCTCATCGGACCCTACTAAATCTGTGATCTTGTCGTTGTCATCGGCATTATAGTGAGTGCGCAACAAAACCAACTGATTGTTATCACTCCCCCAAATTCTCCACCCTATCTTCCGCAGAGTGTCAGAGCGCCAGGGGCGGAGGATAATGTCAATTTCATGGGCCGTAGGGAAATGTGATGGTGTTTTGTAAGTCTCCGAGGCATGATAAGTAGGGTCCAGTTCCCCCGGAATCTCATCTAGATCTAAGAACCGGTGGATCAGTCGGAGGCGCTGGTTTCCAGTGGGCTCAGATGAGGAGTGATCCCAGTGTTTCTTTAAGACAAGATATTAGCCACGCTCGGCCTTCTATTAACTTGGGAAACAATAATCGTGGCGCAAAACACTCACGATCAAGTACTGCTCGACGGGTAACTGGCCCCAATGCGGAAGGTATGCCTCGTCCATCACTCCAGGCAAAGAATGTGTCGGAACGCTAACCGCTAGACCAAAAACGATATATCGCGTCTAGTCAGACCAGTGACGGAGAGATTACTGTCCCAACAGAATGTACTGTCATGGGCAATAAAGCAGAGTTCTAGACGCTAGATGGAAATACCCTGCCTGTCCAGTGCGGGAAAATGACAGGACGCAGCGTCGCAGGTCACCTGGCCCACGCTAATTTCTCATCTGACCAGGCAAACCATTATTGCAATAAGTCACATGATCAGCCCTAGACCCCACCTCTAAAAAAAGAAACTATAGACTTGTATAGTAGTTACTAAATAAATTCTTATTTTAAAATATATTTATATAATTTTTAAATAGATCTTAAACTGGTTATAATTCTGTTCCATAATATCTCTGTAAGTGACAAAGTCACACAGTGTGTATTATATCCTGGCATGGTTGGGATTATTGCTACTACCATGATAATCCCTAATTATAATAGACAGGATGGTGGATTGCGGATGTTCAATTCGGAAGTGCAGTGTATTCCACATACCCGGACGTCTGCAATGGCTGTGTAGACAGGACTAGCTATTGGCCCGAACATCGAACCTGAATCCAGGGGTATAAATATAGCACTCCCATTAAGTGGACCAACACTCCCCGCCTTGTGAGAAGGAACGGCGCGATCAGACTGGGGACTTTAGAGTTCCTCCGAGGTTCCACCGCAACATGAACTTCGGAACAGTAGACAGGATACACCCATGAACATATATTTTCGCCGGAGGATTAAAGTCTCGGGAATAGATAATTTGATAGGTATGATCATATCTTCAGACATTGGTAGAATGCAAGATGCAGTTTAAATTTTTGTCGAAGATAAGATGTTTCACTAGCCAGGATCATAGTAAGATCCTCCGATCTCAGTCCGGTAATTATACCATTAAGGCGAGATTCAAAGGCCGTCCCGTTGTTTGAATCAGATTCCATTGGAGCGGGCATTTACTAAATGACTGTATCCATTATTACGCACAATTTCAGCTACATATTCACTAACATTCTTCTGTACGGCATTGAGAATGCTATCATCTATCACGACTATAACCAGCTGATTAAAAGTGACTGCTCGGTCCTTCCCCAAACATCGAGCTCTCAGTATAGTGGCTACCTGTGGCATGGCTACGGTACTGATTTTTTAACTTCATCAGCTGCTATGATCTGGAGATCTGGAGAGGATAAATCTTCCACCTTCCATACTTAGCCTCCTTCTGACTTTATCAGAGGAGTTTAAAACAATGAACGAATCATTTGTTTTCTAAAGTTACCGCATGGTTCATCCATGACACTTAGAGTACCGAAAGACACTCGTCTAAGGTTCCAGTCAGTATTTTCTACAGTAAGAAAAGGAGCAAGGCCGTGTCGAAGACCTCGATAAATGAAATATATAAGCCAGTCCCAACCCGTATATCCGGGGATTTGACTGGATATGAATTAAGGTAACGAGATACAACCATCACATGGAGTGCCTTCGACGACAGCTTATACATCATGAAACTACATCCGTAAGTTTAGTGGCCAAGCAACACATTCTTCAAGTTCAGGATTTTGTATCCAATAACTAGGTTTGGTTGATCGCCAGTTATTACCTAACGTATGTTTTCGGGAGGCGCAGAGAAAATGCGGGGCTAGCGAGTAAAGTGGAACGTAGTGGGGGGTTTCACACAGAAACAACATGTTTGTCTCCCCAAATGAGCAGAGATTCTGATCTGACTGGAATGAATCACAATAGTGGTCAGAGTTACAGACGAGGTTGGATGATTAATAGACCGCACATTCAGTAAATAGAATATAGCAGGTTGCTTCATTACGTCCTACTAGCTTGCAATAGAGACTGTCCTTACTACTGCGGATAAACAGCTACCTATCATTTGATCAGCGACCTCAGTATACTTTGTCAAGCCATGTCAGCTCTGCAGGGGCTCGTGGGCATGATAAGCTCGATACGTTTCCTGAAAGAGTGCATTTACAGGGGTAAAATGTCTTGCACTTGACACGAGCCCGGACATTCAAGAGTCTATAAACGTACCACGCCGTGGGGCCGCAGATGAGTCAGACTGGCAGGATTGCGGCACAAGAAGACAGAATTCTCCTCATTTGGTGTCAATAAAGAAGGTGTACCTCTGTGATGGTACCATGGAAATCAGTATTACGCAGTGACAAATGCTCGTAGAAGAATAGGCAGCGACTTCGAATTTTTCACGAATAGTCAAAATACATTGACGAGAAATCTATTTTGTCGTCTACTACTTGAGCATGTGTGAGCATCCTAATCTAGTCTGTCCAGTCCTTTGCTGTCAACAAAAGGGACAAATCCCAGTCACTCTGATAGGCGATGGTCTTGGGTGGGCAAGGTGGATTGTCCGAGAGATTTTGAGGTAGGGAATCAACACCGAACATCAAGCACGATGGCTCTGATGGCCCTAATACCCAGATAGAGACGAATAGGATAGAGAAGAATGCTATGCCTACTGCTTGTCTCAGATGAATATATTATCCAATGTTTGTGAGCCACTACCATCCTGGGCGATCCTTGGTGCGAAAGCTACTACTCACTGGTGTGGTTTTCACTCCCCTAATAAACCCACGCGATAGAAACAGGCCATGATCAACGTAAACGTAGACTGGTACTCATGGAACTCGGACCTTTCTTTGATTCCGATTTTCTGGCCAGTCATGCGCATCAAACGTGGACCAATGTTGGAGCAATCCCAGTAGGTAAATGTCTTTCTGCGACCCCGATGAAATGCAACCTCTGCCTTCAACATTCATTCTTCATTCAAAGGCAGACTACCGTCGTAGTGCGAGGTTCTGCAAAAAGGAGCATTATGGGGGTTTTATTTGGAAGGCCGAGACAGCTTGGTGTCGCAGTGATTTTCTCTGTTATTATCTTCGTTATTTTTCAATTCGTCTATACTGATGACTTCGCTCTCACCGGACACTTAACAGAGTCTATACAGATAGTGGACGCATGTTCGCCTGATGCACTCGAAGATGTCCATAACGCTCGTCCGCCCCTCGAACCAGTCATACCAAACATTGTCCATCAACTGTGGAAAACAACCGATATCAGTGACTATTCTACCACCATCACCGCGTCTTGTGAATCGTGGAAGGCTATTTTCGAGCCCTCCAACTACACAGTCAAGCTATGGACAGATGATGATGTCCTTGAGCTTATCAAAGCGGATTACGCTTGGATGCTGTCGACATACGAAGGTTACCCTCACGATATTCAGCGTGCTGATATTGCGAGACTGCTCATCGTTCATTCCGAGGGTGGCATTTATTCCGACCTGGACGTGAACCCCAAGTCAGCTGAGCGTATTCGATGCCTCCAGAGACTCCAATTCCAAGCCATTTTCTCCCCAACAGCGGGCACACTCGGCCTCAGTAACCATTTTTTTATGGCCAGGCCTAGATCGCCATTTCTGGAATGGGCGCTCCGCGAGGCCAAGCGGCGGAGTAGCAGGCTTGCATCACGAGGAATACTCCTCCCGTACCTGCAGGTTTTCTGGTCCACGGGCCCGATCATGGTAACGGCAGCGTTTAGGCAATACGCATGGCTTTACAACACCCCTCGACTCGATATAGGGCTGCTGGACGACGGGTTTATTGGCTTGGTGGTACAACATGCTGCGGGACGGTCCTGGCAAGGGGTGGACGGCAAGGCGCTGAATTATATCGCGGATCAGGGCGGACTAGGGCTCATATTTGGAGCGGTCGCATGCTTTTCTGCAGTGGCAGGACTCATAATCATGGCTAAAAGATACAATACCAGAGCCCCTAAGTGACGAGGTGAGGGCGTGGGTCATATTTACATTATTTCCGTTTGATTGTATCAAGCCGTCAGCTGCGGACTTTGAAATGATGCATTATTGTCTGGGTAAACATCTTGCGCACCTTACTACCTTTCAACGAAGAAGGCCCTCAAGTATCCAGATGGGGATGTTTTATAAAACTGTGTCTGGCAAAATGTCTAAACGAATGAAATGTCTTGACAGGGTAGGCAGAAGTAAAAAGAAAAAGTTTTCCGGGAGGTCTGAGCTTTCACTTAGGATTTAACCTTAGATATGATGATCCAAAGCTGGCTCTCACTTGTGGAAAAAAAAAAACTTTGGGAAGATCTGAGGTGGCTGTTTCGTAGGAAACAAAATGCTATGATTATATGGCCTCAAGGAACCCAGCGTATCAGGCCCTAGCACTCAATATGACAAACTGAGTTTCCAGTTAATAGATTCACCTTTCGCTTGCCGCGTGGTTTCCGCTCTCAGGAGCAGACAGTCCAAGCAGCCGGGGAGAGCGGGCATGATAAGGGTCGCAGGTAGTCAGTACGGGAAACTGCAAAACACAACTAACTAATAGGAGAGGCAAATTTCTGCAAAGAATGGGTAACGGGTAATCTGAAGGGGCTTCGTCAAGGCAATCATGGCTATCTATTCCTCTTAATATGATAGGATTATTTGCGGGGAGTAGGCACGAAAGAGTCTAGGCATCCTACACAAAGTCCTGCCGAAGATTCTTTACGTCCAGGGCTCGCAGAGTGAGGGTATATCTCCGAAATAAATGTAGTCAGTGTGACGAAATAAAATTAATATGGGGTGCCTCCCACCTAAGAACAGAGCCCTGCGCCTTGCCCACAGAATCTGCATCGCAGTAACACGAACGACCCTCGCAATGGAAAACGCATCATGGCAACGAGCAACCCATCCAGTACCGACGTGGAAGTGTGACTGCTTTTATGATCTCGGCATTTGCACAATTCAACGTGCCGCCGACGGATGCCTTACCTGTGGTAGGAGGCGGGTCTTGGCATTTGAACAGGATTGGCCACGGTCTCATCTCATGCTGCACACGATCATAGTAATTGGTTTACTAACCCTCCACCATCGGCATATCTTCGTAAAAATGAAATTGGAAATTCGAATATAGGGCCTTCTTAACGCTATCAACAGGGATCT